CAGGTTCCTTGGCCGTTAGGTTCATTGGGCGACTTGGCCGGTTCCTTGGCCGTCTGCCTTTTAGGTTCAAAGGTTTTGGGCGACTTGGCCGGTTCAAAACCTTGGCCGGTTCCTTGGCAAGGGTTGTTCCAGGTTAAGGTTCCTTGGGCGAAAATCAGTGTGTGCGCTTTACCCTTTTCAGGATGACGTAGACCTCTCGTTTAAAGGCCTTGACATTCTGCAGTTCGCCGCAGATTACAATGTCGGGTCTGTTGTCCATGTGGACTTAGACCCTATGCTTCTTGCACAGGTCCCATATCCTGGATCCCCCCTTTCCCACCAGCAGCGGTCGGGCTTCCTGTGCGATGAACATGCTGTCCCTCACGACACGCCTTTCCCGAGCACGTTCGAGAATCGCGAGGACTTCGGTCATAAAATTCCGCACATCAGCTGGGTGTCCTGTAATGGCCACGTTAATGTCCATATTGTTGTACAGGACTTTAACGCGGTGCCTAGCGCTCAGCTCCCTTATCCTCGTCCCGCCCTTCCCGATGATGAGGCCGCGCTCATCATGCCTGATCTCCATTGAGCCCGTACACATGGTGCTCTGAAGGTCAAACGGGGCTCGAATGACCTTGAAATCAGACACGGAAGGAGCAGCCTCCTCCTGTAGATACGTGGCACGGGACTCGAGGGAGGAGGTCGAGATGGTCTGCTGATCAGACACGGAATGAGCCACTTCGGACTCCTCAACCAGGACTCGGACTCAACTCCGCCACTTCGGACTCCTCAACCACTTCGGGGCCTCGCCACTTCGGACTCGGGCCTCCGCCACTTCGGACTCCTCAACCAGGGCCTCCGCCACTTCGGACTCCTCAACCAGGGGGGGCCTCCGCCACTTCGGACTCCTCAACCAGGGCCTCCGCCACTTCGGACTCCTCATCTTCGGACTCCTCAACCAGGGCCTCCGCACTTCGGACTCCTCAACCAGGGCCTCGCCACTTCGGACTCCTCAACCACTTCGGAACCAGGGCCTCCGCCACTTCGGACTCCTCAACCAGGGCCTCCGCCACCGGACTCCTCAACCAGGGCCTCCGCCACTTCGGACTCCTCGGAGGACTCCTCAACCCTCCGCCACTTCGGGACTTCGGACTCCTTCCGCCACTTCGGACTCCTCAACCAGGGCCTCCGCCACTTCGGACTCCTCAACCAGGGCCTCCGCCACTTCGGACTCCTCAACCAGGGCCTCCGCCACTTCGGACTCCTCAACCAGGGCCTCCGCCACTTCGGACTCCACCTTCGACTCCTCAACCAGGGCCTCCGCCACTTCGGACTCCTCAACCAGACTTCGGACTCCTCAACCAGGGCCTCCGCCACTTCGGACTCCTCAACCAGACTTCGGAGGCTTCGGCCAATTCGGACTCCTCAACCAGGGCCTCAGCCAATTCGGACTCCTCAACCAGGGAGTCAGCCAATTCGGACTCCTCAACCACGGCCTCGGCCTCCACCTTGGCTTCGGCCAATTCGGACTCCTCAACCTCCTGTAGACACGTGACAACACGGGTCTTAAGAGAGGCTTGCTTGAATTTCCTCTTCAGGAAAAACAAGGCAGCTACGGCGGCCAGCGTTGCCGTCGCTAAGCCGGCAAAAATCGCAAAATAGTGTCGTTCGACCTCGACCAGGCGCCTCTGCTCCAGCAACACCGCGTGAAGACACTCGATCTGGGCGACCTTGTCGTCGACCTTCCTGGCGTCCTCCGGGCACAGGAGGTCCAACGACTCAGGCTGTCGCAGACCTAGCACAGGCCGGGGGTATTCTTGATGTCCTCCTTCAACTCGAGGATTGCCTGGTCCTGCATGGACGTAAACCTCTCGGCAACCCTGAACGCGAGGACGAGGAGAGTCAACAGTACCACTTGAGGCACAATGATGCACAATTTTCGCCTCATTGGGAACATGAGGACTGAGGGACGGTTAGTTGCACAGCACGGATTTCGGGACGGATCTAGGCTGGAGACACAATGTGTGCGGGAAAGTGAGCGTGTGTGTATGTGAGGGTGTGATTGTGAGCGCCTGTGTGAGTGTTTAGGTGTGAGGATGTGTTTGTGTGTATTTAGGGGAGTGT